GATCAATAATCGACAAGGGCTTACTCACCTCGGGCAAGACAATTATCCTTCACATCGATTTTCACGGGATTTCCGAATTTGCCGTTACCATTATTGGGATACATCCAAGTACCCAGACCGTCTCGAGTCCATACAAGCTCATCGAGAGCTCCCTCACGGTGAGCACCTCCCTGGTTAACCAGCTGGGCATAATTAACCCCGGGATGGGTATCTTCCTTCGAATTCGTGATCCCAATCTGTTTAATTTGTCCCATATGCTGGGAACTATGCTTATAGTCACCGTCATCCCAGCCACTCCCCCGTTGAGTTTTTACCTTCCCTCCGCTGTTTCCACTGCCGAACTTTTTCTCGCAGGTTGTATCGGCCCAGTCACTCTCTCCAATATCCTTAGGCTTTTGTAAAAGTCCTCGGGATTCTGCTTCCTGAATTGCAGCCCACCATACAGAGGCCATCTTTTTATATCCTTCATCGGTGGGGTGAGTCCCGTCGACTAGCTCTGACACTTGAATAAAACCATCACTCATCTCTGCCAAGACCAGACGGTCGCCTTCTTTAATACGCGTAGCTGCAATATTCCGATATTGCTCATTAATATTCAACACGTTGACCTGTGCCTTGTCGTCCTTATTGGGTAGCAGTGTTGAGAGAATAATGGTGGTTCCCGGAATTGCATCATAGAGACGAGTGAGCATTTTATTCATCCTTTCTCCCGCTGACTCAGGGTGGACAGGCTTAACAGCATCATTCGTGCCCGCACTGCGACAGCATACGATCAGTATACAGTGAGTATTAATCATGGAAGAGGTGAATCATACTTAATAAGAATAAGATTAGGGGCCTTGGGAATGGTCTTTTCAGCCTCTTGGGCGACCTCGTCAATGATCCAGCCGGAATGCCCTTCATTGTCCTAACCGCGTTACATGTCAGCTTCATAGACGAGTTTGTACGCCCAAACCTTTGACGACCTGCTTACATTGTCCTTCATATCGCCACTCTTGAGCGAGCCAACCATATTCACCTCCCATCCAGCAGATCGGAGTTGTTGGCGCAGCACTTTACGGTACCCATTTTTATCCGATGACTTGAGACCTGTGGTGATCGAAGCCCCGAGAGGCATGATCCGTAAGGGAAAGGGTTTCCCATCACGACTCCCGAGCCGGGAGCCAAGATCAGAGGACCTGTGTAGGTGAGTGTGTTGATGGCCATGATGGCCAGAAGGAATCGCCGACGTCAGAGCAAGCAGTGACAGACCGATGATGAGCAGATGTAGCATCCAGCTCACTCCAAGCCGGACCCCCATGATGATTATCGGGTGGGACAGTAGCCTCGAGGAAGAAGGCACAGAAGTAGGCGATTGTTGCCGTTCGCCTGCGTTATTTATATTTTTTGACTCCTTCTGCCATTACGCCCTAAGAGGAGGCAAGCACAGGGACCACTTCCCCTTCTTAGCCCTTTTGTCTCATCGTTTCAATTACACATCAATTGCACCCGGTGGGGTTTGTCTTGGCATTCGCCGATTTTTATTACGCCAAGAGAGCTCTTAGCTCTTGCTCTTGCTCTGTGTTCTCGTTTGTGAGTATCCGTGATGTTTTAGACCTACGCCGATGGTATGTTGAGGTAAGGACTATATGGCAGCAATAAGGACCAACAGGCTTGGCTTGAGGTCTAAACCGAAGTGGCATGGAGCTTGTTGCATAGTGGAGATGCCAAGAGCTCACGCTCCACGCGACCAACAATCCCCAAAGGGCCAAAGGTCATTCCCGATTCGCCGAATAATCGTGTCGTCTCGAAGTCTCAAGGGATGGACTGTGTCCCTGGTGAGACAGTTTCCACTTCTCATCATCTCATCGGCGGCATCCACCGCTGGCCCCCAACCGCCAAGCCAGCCCTAATGGCATATGTGTGGTTGCCATTCGCGTGTACCTGACATGGCGAGGTTACGGTGGGCTCGCTCCACAAAATTAGAGCCCTTGGCAGACGAACTACATCTCACTAATCCCCCTCCTAAACAGGTTTTTTCTTTACGACTACCGTCGTGGAAGTTCCCTTAACAAATCCCCATTCATTGACTGCAATAGTGATCAGATCCGACGTGGTGATGAATATCACTCCTCTCTGAGAGTAAATGCAGCGGCTTTACCATAGTAGTTACAACGTATGCGGTGTCTCTACCATACAATCATACAATTATACTTTTTTATTGATTGCTGAATCATATTTAGTCCACTGTCCTTATCACGATATCGTTGGAATTAAATTCCCGGCTGCTTTTATTATTACCCGCTTGGGTTGATGATGACCTTGCCCGGCAATGCGCTATATATAATCACACGACAACAAAAACCATGCAAGTACAATGTTTCCAGAATTTTATAAAGCATCACAAAGACTACGATCAATAGAATCAAGGAAGGAGCTAAGACTTTGATAGGCATCATCATGGTAAATGGCCCAATGGGGCATGCCGCATGCCGCTGTTAGATATAGGATGCTAAGTTAGGCTTCGTGTGCTAAGGGCCCTTTTGATACTCCGTAGTCCCTGCATGCATCTATCATTCACATGATTAGTGGGCCAGGACAAGGTGCTAAATGCCAAGCGCCATGGGCGTTCCCCATCTAATCAGGCCACATGGAGAAGCAACAAACTGGGCACCCAAGGTCTTCATCTCCAATTGGCACATGGCGGGTACTTCCACAACGTGGGACCGAAAGCTCTCGGCATTCGGGATTCAGGATCGCCTCGAGTAAGCTAATTCCGAGACTTGGCAATGCCTGGTGAGGCTGACTTGAGGATCAAGTAGCCATCATGCATCGGTCAATCATATGCCTGGTGCAACCTCGACAAAAAGCCCCGTGGAAGCCCCGTATAAGCGTGATGCAGTGCCAGGTGGAAACCTGTAAAATAGAGCCATTGCTGTCGCATTTGACTGCTTTTTCTATGTGGTATGAATGAAAGTGGTTGAACCACGTTGTCCGCAGCCCATATTGCCTCGTTGCAACCACGAAAATTGAGGATGCCGAAGACCCGTCGCAATGACACGCTGCTACTCAGGGGTTTTGGTGGGGACATAGGTTGTTTGGCGACCTAGTCCAGGCTGTATCATCTGGCTGCTCATTAAAGTGGATGGGACGGAAGGAGAAAATATCGAAAATCGCCCCCAAAAATAGCAAGACATGGTGTGGGTCGAAACCAAAAAACCAACGGATCCTCTTCGACTTGATTTGTGGGCCCTAAAATGAGGGTTGCAGCCAAGTCCATTAGTTGAATCGGGCCTGGGAAGAAATATTCCATACGAGAGCGCATATTTTAGTGAAATTAGGTTTCCCGGAGAATGGTTTTGCATAACGGTCAACATTATGAATGCATCAATTATGCATACCGGTTAATCTTGTTGGTAGACTTCGCATAACTCCCTCCAGGTGAATGCCGGATTTCGGATGATAAAATTGGGTCACATCGACTACCTGTGTGTGATATCAAAATAGCTTTTAGTTTGAACGCAGCCTCTGGAAAGGCATGTCTCAACCGTCCAGGGGGGTTTGTGTTATGAGCAGAGGCGTGCCTGTGCCCCTCTAGGTCTGAACTATATAGGTTGATAGTAGGGAATGTCTCGTTGGTGAGATACAAAAGACGTTTGCCGACATCAGAGTGTTGTAGACGCTAGAAAGCATTATCTTCGCAATACATTGTTTAAATAAGTATTACTCAGAAGCCTTTGAGAACATTTACCTGGTATATTTATATAAGCCCTGGCAATATCAGCAGAGAAGTCTCCAGCCCTAGTATTGAGATCGGGCCTTTGTAATCAATGTCGTGAAAGGCTTGGGAGAAATCAAGGCAAAATGTTTCGATACGATTGCGGAATAGCACACGACACACTTCCCCACCAATGTGCGTGTCGACTATGTCGAAAGCGAGTCCAAGGCCATGAGTACAAGTTGCGGGCTGGTGCTCGCTTTTCGTGAGGACTGTTGTGCACCACAATCTCTGCCGAAATGTACTGTACCCAAACATTTCGGGAAGTTTGAAAAATGCTAAAACCCGCGGTGAACCTTTCTCCCGTGAGCTACTTTACTGAAGGCCATGAAGATACAAGGCAGATTAAGTTGATCTTTCGAGCAACGGAACAGGTATAAGGGTAGATCAGGCTTTGCTGACTCCGGGTACGGAAGAAGTGTAGATAGTGCTGTAGAGGGAGACGATAAAGGCGATGCAGAACAAGACCTACCCACGGCACCAGGATGGCCATTCTTTGGGGTTGGTGGTATCTCCAGCTTTGAACCTGACCTCGAAGTTGGCTTCGTCTTGGTCACCATGGCCTTCTTTCTCATTCCCTGTCTCGAGACCACGAGGGAGGATGCCTCGAACAGCTTCACCTTGACCCTCCACACTCGACATGGTAAGTGGGTGGCGTGGGCCAGACGCTAGGATAGTGGAGATCTCTTTCAGTGTCCATGCTTAGTATACAAAGCTCGTGCCCTGACCCCAATGCTAACTGCATCCAAAGCCAAGAACCAATCACATACTTGCCAGTTGACATGGATACAAACCGGATGAAAACCACCCGTGGTTAGTTTTTGATTGGCTCAAGCACAAAGTCTTTCCTCGTTAGCTCCCGTCTTTGGACGGCCGGGCGTTCCTGTTCTCTCGTCCTTGGAGCCTTTTATTCCCACGTCAGATCGTCTCAACCTAATCAGAGAGAACGACCCCGTTAAACTCTTGCTCCCTTGCTATTTTCGATCCCTTCAGCCTCGCTCTCTTTTTCAAGTCGGCCCCCGAGAGCTTCTGACATATCCGCAGTCTCGTCAAACTAAAACTAAATTCTTGGGGCTGAACAAGTCCTGGTATAAGACCACGACGAAATGTAAGTTACAGGAAACACGCGAGACAATATCCACAGTGTTTCTAGAACCCCACCAAAGTCAAAGCCAAGAAAACAAAAATGGTGTTTAAAAAGCTAATTCTACTTGCCTCCCTTACAGTCAGTTGTCTTGCAGCTATGTCGACTCCGGAGCCACTTCCCAACCCACAGCGTGTTATTACCGACACCGATCTGGGGAGCGGCATCTCGCACTTCAATACGACTCTGGACGAAAGCCTTGTGGTCAAGCAGGATCTCGGAGGTTCCTTGTTCCGTTTGGGCTATATCACCGACAAGACCCCCAACACGCTCGATGGCACCGATCTCACCAACTACATTGAGTACCTGGAGAATGCCAGCGTGCCTCCCGTCACCCTTCCCGACGGCCGTGGCATGGTGTGGTACATCGACACACCGCCTGGTAAGGGCAGTCCTTTCCACCGCACCCTCAGTTTCGATGTTGTTATCCAGGTCGCGGGCGAGATGGAAGTGACGCTTGAATCTGGAGAGAAGCGCATCCAGAAGCCGGGTGATATGCTTATCCAGCGCGCTACGGCTCACACTTGGAGAAATGCCAGCAAGGACAAGTGGGCACGCATGGTTGGTGTCATGTACTCAAGCAACCCTGTCGTACTCAAGAATGGCACCGAACTTGGTCCTACTGGAATTTAGTCGTTCTCTTAGCAATAGTATCATGCATCAAAGCACCAATCTTCGTGATATGTACACCCGTTGTTTTTTGTCTCAATATATTGACATAGCCATAATCAAGCAACCAAGATGATACTATCTAAAAATCCATTTCTCCGATCTCTAATTCGTATATCTCTAGGTTGTATCTGCGTTTCGTCATTCAACAATACCTTATCTGTCAATGGCCTCTAGTAGTTGCAACACTGGTATCAGGTAGATTGCAAGGTCTCGTTCCAATCGAACATGCTGATTATGTTCCATCTGCTACATCTCATCCAACATTCAAGCTAGTTGGCGTAACATTCGACGATACATGGGCCGTATCAGGGTGGCTCCCTGTTGGCCGTCAAGAGTAAACCGTCCGAGAGCCATGGGAGGGAGATCCTCAAGGGCTGCAGTTAGAGAGGCGTTAAAAGGAGCCACAACAAGGACACGAGGTTGTGCAACGTTTTGCGGCGCGCTCTCAGTGTTGCTGTCCCTACTGCTCCGGCTATACCCCTCATGCGCCACAAGGGAGGTGACGGCCGGCTCAGTGACATTATTGCTCAGAAACCCAATTACATTCTCAATCATGTGAAATACGCGGTGTATGTGGGTTTCCAATCAAGGTCGGCATGTCTTGACGCGTTCCCAGAAAGCCATGCCTTGGCTAAACAGCCGAAAACTGGCTTCCACACCCGACTTGTCATTAATTGGCAGCGCGTGAAGTTCCAGTGGGCTGCTGTCCACGCAGAAACATGACGATTTCGATCTCTGATTTGACAAGCGTGACTGCCGGCGACTATTGTACGTTGCACTTCTTGATGCATCCATTTCGGATGGCAGGATCCGTCAAGCACGGTTTGAATAAATTGGTAAGAGAAGGAAACGAAGGACAATTATGCTGACGCCACCGGAAAAACAGAACTTTACTGAACATGCAAATACTAATTAGATATGGCTATACCTGTCTCCTACAATGCACCGTGTGACTACGTTCCTTGCGCAAGAATTTGGGCTATCACCTCATAGCATAAGTCCTAAAGGAACATAAGACAATACTACTATTGATTATAGGTAAATGGCTCAGCCGAGAGAAATACTGACATTATCCACGGCCGAGAAGCGAATACGGGGCTGAAGTGCGACCATTGGCCACAAATCATCTTATTGGTATCATTTAATTAGACTATCTACTAGCTCTAAGTACGACTAATTATTAGGATAACCTCTTCTACTATGTCTAATCGTGCCATTCCCTACAGCATGGCGGAGCATGCTGACGAGATGTAGATGTAGGTTCATCAAACTGGCTGTTTGTCCACTTATCAAGCTGCTGTACGGCGGACTAAATCGAGGTTCCGGACAATGTAAGATTTCACACCGAAATATTTTTGTTTTACATAAAGCCACGCACTTTCTAAATCTACTACTAGTACCGGCCCCTAAAAATATTATTAGGGCTCACAAATATAACTGCTACTCCTGAAATACTAGTATTATACTAGGATCCGAGAGAATCTAAAGGTCTAGCACTGATATCTTCTAACAGGGTGCTGGTGGTCTCCAAGAATTAAAGAAATAGAATTGACAGTAAAAAGACTTTTCGGGCAGTAAAAAGGCGGTAAATAGCTCGGAATCGGACTAGTTAATAATCCAGAGCTTTATCCTATATATAAGAATTATAATTGGTTGATCAGTAAAGTGGAGCTCTATAAATAGATATAATTGCTCAATAGAATAGTGCTTTGGTATTGGTAAAGCTGGTAATATTTTATATTGTCCGAAATCTCGATTTAGTCCGCCGTCCCTAAAGAGCCGCTACAAGCGCCAAGACGCCCACGACAACGTCTATACTTTCCCCCCTCTTCACCCTCCGTCCCCCGCCGGCGTTCCTTTCGGACTCTTCTTCCACACCCACGTACATCGAGAGATAGAGTCTTGAAAGAAATGAGTGCCATACAGAATATCTCGGTAAGTTGCCTCTGCTGGCATTGATGCCTGACTCGACCCACCCCTCACTTCAAACCATAAATAGTGCGGTCGCTGCCAATCCAAGAAGGTAACCCGATCTAGTCTTGGCAATTCCAGCTGGACAGATTAACTAAAATAACAACCGGCTAGGTACGCTGCAATCGAGTCGCTCCACGATGTGGCAATTGTGAAGCGGCGGGAGCTGAGTGTGTCTACTTGCCTCGGAAACCCCGATCTAAGAAACAAGCGTATTTGTCTACCTAAAAGGCGGCTCGACTCCACCAGGAAACTGATAAGATATCGCAGAAACGAACCACTCGATAAACGTCTGCTTTTAGAGATTATGGACCGTCTTAAACGTCTTGAAGAACAAGTCGGTCTGGAAAACACTGCAGAGACTGAAGATAATGGTGACGATTCCATGTCAATTTCCTCTGTCGGTTCAGAGGCCGCTCGGGCAATATCCATAGACAAAGACCCGGCTCAAGTCGTCCCATCCGTGATTCGAGATATTGTCAGTCGGATCAAAGATGAAGGCAGTCGATCTATGCTTCTCTCCAACGTCTTTTGTCACCTCCGACACGTTGACTCATGCTATTTCGAAAACAATCGATGTATTAAAGCAATGACCTCTGCTATATCGGAGATTGAATCTACACAGAGTACGCAGAGCGCCCAGCCGCTTGGGGACCCGGTTATCCCAAAAGACCTAGCAAAGAAAATCATCGAAAGCAAGTGACTGCACTCCCTTATAGCTGTTGATGATCTAACATCCTTTCCAGACCACTACGGCTCTTACCAATTTCCAGGCTTCGAATTTCCTCTCGAGAAATCTTTCTTATCTTCAATCCCCGACTTAATCGAAATCCCTCACGTCCAACTAGATTGTAAATCTCAAATCATCTACTACTCTGTTCTCCTTCGGGGCATTCTTCTGGAGCCCGAACCCCATCCCAGAAGGGGCAGCATCATGCGAAATCTATATCTAAAGTGCGTTGCATTAAGTGACGACTGGATGAAGAATATCCAAGATAGCCCTGTCGACTTCTTGGCCGCATCCCTCATGGCAAGCGCATCACATATATTAGATCTCCAACTAATAAAACTAACAAACCAATAGACGTCAACAGCCCTCGAAGGCTATAACACAGATCTAGCGTGGAAGGCGTTCACCCACACATGCAGGATATCGAAGACCCTAGGCTATTTCTCCGTCGACGAAACACCAAGTGAAGGGCACAACCAACTCTCCACACCAGCTGGCACCCCACTGCACGAAGCTGAAGTCGAGCGGAATCGCAAACGCTTCGTCTTCTGGCACATCCTTCGAACAGACTGTCTTTTCCGAAAGTCATTCGGCAAGCCAACTCTCATCCCCACAGGATCGTGGAAAGTCCATTTGCCCGATCCAACAATCAATGGCGTGGACGATGAATACTCGCGCTTTATACAAATTCATTTCTTGATTTCAATGCGGCTTGGTCTTATTGTTAGGAAATATCTCGATTGGATTGATAGTGGTCCGGATCCGGACCCGATTTCGCATGATTCTATTATTCATACTTATATCGATGAGGTGCAGTCTATATTGTCGGATTGGGATACGGTGCGTTATACCCTACTCTAGCAGCATGACAGCAAATGAAATGCTGTGCTAATAGGAATAAAAGGCGGGCCTTCTTCGAACAATATCAAATCATATCGATTCCTGGCTCTGCATCGACGTGCTGGTCGGTAGCTATGAGATACTTATTGTGCTGCATCTGTCGAAGAAATGTCATCATGGTCATCTCTTACCACATCAAGCCGTTAATCTGGCTAGGAAGTCACTGAAGATCTTCCAATCGCTCCTGGGGTCCACATCGCATGCGTTCTGGGGAATCAGGTATAGAAAGCCTCACATACCCATTCACGTCATTGTTGTGTATATTATTAACCGCATGTATAGTCCTATCACGATGTACCAATTCCTCCCCTTTTTTATCCTTTGCTTAGACATCATAGAGAATCCAGACCATGAAAACCTCGATGAGGATCTCGTGTCTGTGACTTGGGTATGCGATTATGTCGAAATGGCCGCCGAGGGACGGATTGAGCTGAAGCCGGTCATTATCCTCATTAAAGCGATGGTCACTACGTGTCAACAGACAAAAATGGGCCGTCTTGTACAGTCAGGTAGTACTGGTGAATAGACAGTCCGTCGATGTCTTTACACCTTCCAGAATTTCCCTTTGAGCCCAGATAGGATATTAACAGCCATTGAGAGACACGATCTACATATATTGTAAATATGCACATCACAGCCTCGATGAAGCTAGTCCGCACTCCTGGAATCTAGCTGACTGTGTTTACTCCTATCCTGGAAGGGGGAATGGGGTGCACCTGGATCTTATTTGGGATAGGTCCTAATCCAGAAGGGGTGAAACAAGATAGTGTATTGGAATTGGGGTAGGGCCTATTTGGCGGGCGGGCGGGTTTAGGATCATTATACATTGAAATTAAACTTTCTATATAGACTGTTAATAGATCCCCCAATCAGATTTGACTCAATTTTAATCCAATTATTTACTGATATATATAATATTAGCTGTCTATTTTACAGTATGTTAATTGCTTAGGAAAAGATATTTTTATTAGTATATATTTTATTATAAAATTTAGTTAGGATTGGCTATAGCTGACAGAATTCCCCGACTATTTTATATATACTGTGTCTCTATCAGTTTAGGATTTTATCGACTAATCCAGAAAAGATGAAACAAAATAATATATTAAAATTAAACTTTCTATACAGATTGCTGATAGATTCTCTACTTAAATTTAACTCAGTTATAGCCCAGTTATATTACAGACCCTGGTCTAGTGCAGCACTGTCAGATAATATACTGACTACAATAACAATAGAAGCGGTAACTATTATTAACTGTAGAATATTATCCGAACAATAATATCTAAGTATATAAATATTATAGAATATAGAATATTATAACTATAATTATATTAAATATTTCAATATTAAAGTAAATAATAATAAAAAAATCTCTCCATATTAGTATAGTAAATCATGCTCGGTCAAGGAGAGTGCCAGGCAGGATGACAGGTTCTCGAGCTCTCCTCCATATGTGACTTCCCCATCCCAAGCATCGATTGCGGTTGCTTTCGCCTGCGAAACGCAATGATCACGGATCAACTTGTGGATGAACATGGAACTTAGTTGTGGCACATGACTATTCCATGTCTGGAGTTGCTGGAGGTCCTCAGGACTGATGTTGTTGACATCACCAACCAAGCGATTCGATGACTGGGTCACTTGTGTGAGGATGTGTGCGAAAAGGTTCAGAGTTCTCCGTAGCTGAGCCTTTGGAAATACCTTCGCATCATAGACCGCTTCTACATGAACGTAACCGTTGCTGGCTGGGGTACACAGTAGTGTCAACCCATATGTGTCCCAGACCGGTCGCGCATTGACATCTGCAAAGTCTCCAAGGATACTAGACTTTTGATGTAGTGGTACTTGCTGGATCACAAGAAGGGTTTGGAACCTGCAGGCTCTCGCAGCATCGTCTCCCAGCTGGCCAATGTGCTGCAGACCATACTGCTCAAACGGAAGTGCCGAAATCAATCGTTCTTGGAGCAACAGGAGCTCTTCCTGGAGGGAGACGTTCGGTCTCAGTTGGACTCTGAGGGGGAATGTTGTGATCGTAGGGCCTGCCATCTTATCAATTACAGGCACCGGAGCACCGCGGCCAGATACGGTCAGTCCGAATATCACGTCATTTGAGCCGGTGTACCGCGCGACGGTCAGCGCCCATGCCAGCCGGATGCTATTAAACAGAGTGATGTTAGTGCCATTGCTTAGAATCTTAACATCTGTATGCTCGAATTCGGTGGCAGTAGGGGTATATGTTGGGCAAGGTAGGGATGGAAACTGCTCGCCCTCCAAACCTAAAAACTCGGCTTTCCAGTACTTCTCAGCCTCCGATGTCGATTGCCAGAGGTAGCTCACAAATGGGCCGAATGGCCATGCAGCCAAAGAGTTTCCATGGTGAGCGAGGTCGACCTGTTCTAGGAGCAGGGAGACTGACCACGCATCATATATACAGTGGTGCAGAGTAAGAACACAGCGGCTCGGACTCTCTGATGAGCTATGAATTACCGCTAACCGTGCTAGGGGCTGACCTAGCTCCATCGGCCGAGCTTTATCTTGGCGTAGATACTCCTCTAAATCATACTGGATGGAGAAGTTGAATTCCTCACGCACAACGACTTGGAAAGCCTCCCCATCAGGGCCTTGTACGATGCGGGTCCGCAAAAGGGGATTCGCCTCAAAGGTTGCTCTCCATGCTAGTTCTAATATCGGGATAGTAACGTCGTCCAGCAGCTGATAGACCCGCTGTGAAATGTATGTGCCCGACCGCACACTACTCAGAGTGATTAAGTCCTGCTGCATAGGCGTGCTTCGGTATACATACTCAATCTGCGACTCAGATAATGCGCATTCTTTGGCGGAAAGTTCAACGATTTCCAGTTTTCTCACTTCTCCGACTATTGATTCGAACCAATTGTCATTGTTGACCCTAATGCTCGCCTGTTCTACTAGACACTAGCTTGGCTTGAGCGGACAACGCTGAGTGAGAAAAGATGTCACCGAAGGTCAGAAGAATTCCTATCTCTTCTGCTGCAGCAACAAGTTTCATAGCTGTGATTGAATCACCCCCTCTCCGGAAAAAATGATCATGTCTTCCAATACTCGTGTCTCCGAGTTCAAGAACGCGCGACCACAGCACCGCTATGCTTTGCTCCTCTTCGGTTTGAGGGCCTTCAAGTGTGATGTTTGATCCTGTACAGCAAGCGACATTTTCCGCAGTCATGTTGGATGCGACACGGTGCAGCGCCTGGCGGTCCTTTTTACCTGACCGATTCAGGGTATTTGCAGTATTGAAACAACCACCGTTGGAATCATATATCGTGGCACAGCGTCTGCTAGGCACAACTCTATCATCTTTAAATAGTCTGGGCCCTTCTCCAAGGACCCCAAGAATGCCTCATTCCCAATCGCCTGGATCGTGGGGCTCAATCCCAGAAACACTGTCAATTTTGCGTCCTTTGTGCTTGGCAATGAGACCAGGTTCACTACCACATCGTGAACCTCGGCATCAGGCATTTCTAATAGAGAGCAACTGACGTGCCATTCGACTTCCTCCACTTCCAAACGCTGGCCGTGCACTTTAACAGTGTTGTCCTTCCGGCCCAAAAACCGAACTGTCCCGTCATCTGTAAACTGAGCAAGTTCTCCGCTCTTGTAAAGCCGGCGGCCTCGATATTCCGGGCGAACCCTCTGCAGCATCGCGGAGGAACGACTCTTGTGTTTTTTTCGGTGTTGTTGACATAACCTCGTGCAATAGCTGTCCCCTCGATAACCAGCTCTCCAATGGCCCCAATTGGAACAAGCTTATCATGGTCCTGAGGGTCGACCAGCCAAATTGCAGATGCAACCCCGCGCCCAACATTCTTTAGATCCGAATCAACACCCGGATTCTTTCTCATGAACGAGATGCTAACACATTCGGATTGTCCACAGCCATATTCACGTTTACTTTGTTCGCCCATATTCGGAGACTGGCACGGGACATGGGCTCCCCAGTAAAGACCAGAGTCTGCAGATTAGGGACCTTCTCTGGACTGAGCAAAGCGGCCACAGATGGGGTTAGGTTGGCCCAATTAATGCGATATTCCATCATAAATCGTGCTATGTTGTTGACCCAATCAGGTTCAGATGGCACACAAATGCATGCTCCAAACATGAGAGTAAGTAGGACATCGCGATGAATGACAAGAAATGCATGACTGGAGAATTGGAGGACTCGGGAACGACTATCTAGGCATAACGATTGCCCTGTAGTTCTGGCCCAACTACAAAACGCTCCATGTTCCATTATAATTCCTTTCGGTTTCCCAGTGGGGCCGGGCGTGAATACCACATACAAGGGATTATCAGGACATGCAGAGATGAGATTTGACACATCTTGTTGCTCACGGAGACATTCTGCATCTTCCCCTACCGCCACAATGTTCTTCGCCAAATTCTGGGCGGCTGGAGCCAAACCAACGCTGGCGAGCACAGTCGTTGCCCGAAGTTCATCACATATGAGTTGCATTCGAGACCGAGGATAGGACGGGTCGAGAAGAACGTAGGCCCCACCTGCCTTGATAACCCCTAGAATGGCGACAATGAACCATTTTGACTTTTCAAAGTATAATGCCACAAATCTTTCCGGCGTAACCTATACTGGTTAAATGAGCTGCCAGATTAGATGAGAGCCGCTCAAGCCCAGAGTAAGTGAAATTTCCACCCGGCGCATTGACAGCCGGCTTTCCTGGGTTCTCTGGAACCCGCTGCGATATGGCGCGGTGAACACATTCATCATGCCATATCGGTAATCTTTCATTCCATTTCCGGAGGATACTCAGATCGTGATCACTACAAAGAACCAAATCTCCAATACTTGTAAAGGGCTGGTTCACGATGTCCGTTGCCGTCTTAGACACGGTGGCTGCCATGCCTTGAGCCTCGATGCCACTCAGTTTTGTTTTCCAATAGCTCAATCGAGTATTTAGCTCATTGTGCTTGTTCTCAACCGTCAAAATAATTTTAATCTGCAGTGGCCTAAGCCCAGGGCTTATGATCATTCCTCACTCGTCGTAATTGTACCCACGTTGATTGTATCGTGGCCTTCCAATGTTTGCAACTCGCACCGGGAGTCCATGTTCAGAAACAAAAGCGTGTCGCTTTCCTTAGTATCCGGAATACCGTTGTGATTCGGTCATATGTCTTCTCGTGCTTCGATACATCGATTATCGGAATATTCCGCGTGAGCCTTTCCTGGCAGACAAGCTCCTCCCAAGGCTGTCCATGTCCAGTGGTTCTATGAAGGACGCGTCGAAAGCTAACAATGTCGGAACCAGTATAACTTCCCAGCACTATGCTCCAGATGACATGCATCACTCGATTGAGAGAGATGTTATAGCCATCGCAAAAATTCGTCTAGGCGAGAAACCTTGAGGGGAACATGCTGTAGTTCATCATCAAGATTAGCTTTCAGTGCCAATGTCAACATATTTGGGACTAAAGAACGACTGACCTCAACTTGTTTATCCATTTTTGTTCTCCAAAGGAGTACAATGTATAATGTTGAGATTCTATCAAAGCCACAACATGAGCCCGAAGCCGTGGCACTGAGCTTTATATTGATATCTGCTCGTCTCTCCTCATACTTCAGCCTTTGAGTGTTCACACGGAAATTGTTTCGACAGCCATAAGATGAGTGGGGCCAAGAAGGATGGCTGCTCTTTCTCTTTGCCCAGGTACCGGTGTATCCCTTACAGTTAGTGCATACAAGCTATGCAAATAAGCTACCTCACCGCTGGTTGCCTAGGAGCGACGATGTGAAGATCCATCATAGCAGGGAAGTCCGAAATTCCGTCCACCGCAAATCCCAACGTCACAATGGTGGTTGGCTGAGGGAGGATATTTGGATTTACCGTGGGACCTGCCGATCTATCCCAAATGAGAGATTCTGTATGGTTGCTGGGCGATTAGGGCCATGTGGATGTGATAATATCGAATGTACACTGCTGAGGATTGTGGTATTGTAGTGGGTCAACCCTTATGCTTCCCCCTACCCGTCCCATGATCCTATTATATGCATATTGGAATAGATCGCCTGCTGTCGTGGTTAATTCGATGATACAAGCTCTCCATTCTGTCATTGGCCTTGCCAGCCTGCAGCGTAGGAATGCATTGGGAAACGACATTACCTAAGATTCTCACGATTTGACGTCCGTGATTCGGCATAGTAGCGGTGTAACGCCGACCGCTGCTTACAGTATGGGCACGGCACCAAAGTAATAAAACATTGGGCTTGGTTGAGTTTAACTATCCTTGTGGGCAGCTCCACCTCTCCTTTCTTTGGAAGTATGCAGTAGCATCAAAACTGTGCATGGGTGTATCACTATCCAGCTGCCGGATATCAGCATACTTGGCATCAAACCATATCCCTTGCGCCTACCATATGCATTGAGTTGCAGTATTGGGCAAGAGTTATGGCACATCAATTACTCAAAAGCAAGGTCAGATCCTTGCCTCAAAGGATCAACAATTCCATCACACACCAGTGGTGAGCAAGTGGTCCAAGTATGTATCTCCTTGCATATCCCCTTGTTCTTCCATCATGATGGCGGGTACGACATTCTCATATCTTGACCGAGTTGCTGTGGAGAGAGACTGAATATGTCGTAGAACAGTATTTCTTCTATGGTGTACATTCCGTTTCATTCGACGGCCAGATAGTGAATAGACAGACATAGGAAGGAATATCAGTTTGATATATTCTCGGGAGTCGCAGGGATCGCAATTAGACTACTGTGTACATACCTCACTCAGTCCAATGGCTCCATATAAAAGCCTATCTGGCGAATAACCCATCGATATCCTAGAATCATTATCCTAGGGGCAGAGTGGCATAACCTAGCCGCTGTAACCTAGCCATAACCCAAGCTAACCTTGCCAAGCACCAGTCTAGCTAGGCACATGTATTTTAAAATCTCAAAAATAATTATTCAAGTATCTGTAAAAGTAGAAATAATAATCAATATATGGCCGAGGATAAAAGACCAAGGTTTCGGTAAAAATCATTGGTTGACTATTAGCCAGATTTAGGCCGCCGTATGAAAGACCTGTTAGCGCCACAGAATTCCATATAGGCAGATTCCACAAGCCCCATATCCAAGCCAGGATTTTCAGATTCTCGCACTTCCAAGCACCAGGTTGTAAATGGACCAACCGCAGCAACACAATTTATACCAATATCCTTGCGCGATTGGTTGCCAGTCCACTGATCCTGCCAGGCATTGGCGGCGTTAAGTTTGGCATCCGCGGTAAAATCACACTTGTTCTTTACTTTAGCCGCATCGAACTCGAAAGGTATGGTCATCGAATCATGAGAAAAGTGAAACCGCTTATTGGACTCATCCTCAAAGAGGTCATCCCCCATGTGTCGGATGTGAACTGTAACACGCTGGCGGCCGTGGGTGTCAGGACACACCTTGGCCCCCACCAACCACAGTCGAACTTCGCTCAGGCGAACATCTGCTCGAGGCCTGCCAAATGGCATGGCTTTCGGTTGCAAAGTTATGGAAACTTTGTACACTTTTCCCTCTCCTTCTTCCTCACATTGACCCGTCTTCAACGTCTCTAGTTGCGCACTCGTAAGGCCATAGAAGAGGCCCTGCTTTGCTTCCGTATGTGGCCAGATCGAACGGACGTTACCTGCATATCGGTGGAGAATGGCTTCAAATGCATTATCGAGTTGCGTCCAATGGGAGCGCAGCTCCGTTGAGGATCGCAGGGGCCCCGGCTGGTCGAAGTTGTAAGACGTGTCCAGACCCCAGTACATGACGGCTCGACTGGCATAGTAGAGTCGCTGCATCAGCTGAAGCGCAAGTTTGTCTTTCGTTCCCCGCAGCCAAAAAGATACCGCTGGAATGGTGGGGTCCAGCTTCAATCGCTTTCCGCGCAGACTGGAAGCCTGCTCTTGGGCGTGCTTCCTGGCGCATCGTGCTTCCACGAGCAGCTGGATTGATGAATTGTACCCCACAACGGCATCGTTTCGTTTCAGAATGATGTTTTTGTACTCCTTCAAGGCCTTGTTCACGTTCTTGCGCTGATCTTCCGGAATACATTCGCTGAAGTCCTTCATCAGTTTCTCAATGTCGCTTATCTTCGCCATCACTTTCAGCGCCTTCGGATCGCTTATTGAGATTGTATTGTCATTGTTTGTTTTCAATGCGGCTTCCAGGGATTCCAAGCTACCGGTACATTCAGCAAGCTGGCGGATCACAAATTCCTCCTTGAATTCTTTCCCCTGGCCGTCGTTAATGGTGTCATGTTCAATGAATTTGTGGATGTCAGTTGCCAATTTCCATAGCTTTCCCAAGCTATCAAGGTCTGGCTTCAACGAGGTCAACGATGAGAATCCATCGATGAGAAACACTGGATCGTAAACGTGGTCAAATTTCACGTGGGCCACTTCAGTCCGCACTTTATCTCGTTTCTCCTTGAGTTCCACCGTCAGTAGACCGATCCTGACGCCCTTTTTGTAAATTTCACCATTTGGTCCCGTGAGGAGGTTAATAATCGTGCTGGCTTCTGTTTCTGTCGTTTGCATTTTCTCGATGCCATTGTCAAGAACGGCACGCAGATCGACTGACTTTTGATCAGCCTGTTGATATTCCCTTTCAAGGTTTTCGATTTCCCGGAGTACCCCGAGTCGTTTGTCGATCGAGTTGGCGTAGAAGTCATAGGATAAGCGAGGCACCCAAGACTGGCTGTGTCCGAACATGTCCTGCCCTAAGAGTAATCGGTTTCGACGGCTTCTGGCTTGGACAGCGACGGCTTTCAGCTGGGATTGGGCGTTTGTTGTGACTTGATAAGTATTCTCCAGCATATCTACCGCCTTCCACAACCCGGTAGACTCATCGGTCTTATCATCAATCGTATCAACTATGCGTAGGCGCTTGACTAAACGGTTGTATTGCCTGATCAGCTCGGTGCGCTCTGTCCACTGAGCGCTAAAGAACTGGTTGTCGATCTTGTTCAGCAGCATCTGGCATTGTTCGGGAAATATGTACGCTTGGCGGGTGTTCAGATCGTTCTTGGTCCCCTCGAAATCCAGGAATTGCTGCCATGATTCTCCCACTTTTCCTTCCTCACCTCGGGGACCAGGGTCTATTCCTGGTCCACTGATTCCTCCCGGTCCGCTTGCGCCTGTCATAGTCAAAAACGGGGGATGTTAATGTGGGAAAGACGAATATGTCTTACCTGCTTTGTTGTTTCTCAATGTCCACGTAATCCTGCGTTTCGTCTTAATGATCGCACTATCCATAGTGAGATATAGCGTGTCGAGGAGGAGGTCGAGCTGGGATCCACTGCTTGCTGATAATTCTCCCATGATCCTCGAGATCTCCTCCAGGTCTGTCGCAACATCATGTTGACTTGCTATCTGTGATAACAATTTCTTCAAACCCTTCACATTCTCTTCGGACATGACCGGAGACTTTTTCACAAGCTGCAAGTTCTTCTTGATCTGATCAAGGACTTTGGAGGTGAGGACTTTGACGTTTTCTGTCTGGCTCTTGGCAGGCATGCGCTGAATAGTATCGACAAGGCTCGACAACACCGAGCCCAGGGAATCGTAGGCGTTGAGAGTCTTCCGCTGCTCTTCATTCAGGAAATTGAACAGTGCCTCTGATAGGTCAAGCTGCAACAGGCTGGATACTTTCTCAGGCCATGGCTGCTTGTCGGTCAGATTGAAGGTCGACATCGCTTCCGCCGGCTGACTACCAACGATAATCTCGATGAGACCTGAAAAGACAGATCAGCCAGCCATCGATGCTCTGTTCTTTCGGGAGTATCATGACCTCTTACCTCCATTGCCGGCGTTTCCACCTCTGCCCCCTTTCTTTCCCTTCGCACTCGTATTCCCTCCACGCCCACCGTCTCCACCATTGGCATAGATGTCAACATTGTCCAAATCGCCTGCTGCCAGGTCTTGGACAAAAATCCAGATATTTCCCCCATTCATTCCCGGTCCCCCAATGCCTCCATCATTATCGGTCTTATTATCCCCTACCTTTCCTTTATCCCCTGACACGTCGACTGTAACTCTCTGGGAGACGAGGAGGTTGTTACAGAACAAGCCAAGGTTTTTGCCGGGGAGTCGGACGTTCCCAGTAATCTCGATCTGCTCGGCGTAAATCAAGCACGTTTCCGACGAGAACCCAAATTCCTTTGAGATCGTATATTTTTTTGTGGTGTCCAAAATGAGAGTCAGGTTGTTTTTTTCAAAGAAAACATGATCTCCATTCGGGTAAGTGTTCGTTTTTCCGGGGCCCATCGTGACCTATAATTAAACAAACAATATGCCAGAGAAGAAAGCCCCAAAAAAAAGTATAGAAATGTGCTTTCAAATATGCTTTCTGGTGCTAGGAGTGTGGTGCAATTGTCCCAAGTTAACATATTGGCAATCTGGAATTTATGGATAGTGGACGAAGTACTAAGTTCCAATATGATGATTTGTCTGTGATTTCACACACCGCTGCTTGTGCCTCCACGAATGATATCCAGAAGTGTGGCGGCTGCGATCTACGCATTGTTTGTCGCACCCGTCCCTCCGATCCCAACTTGATTCGACTCCATTTCAGCTTCAGCCACCAAAGTGTGTCGGCTACCCCTAACTGCGTTATTATTCCCCACTATGCAGCCTCAAGAACGACTATTAGCTGAATAACCGAATTGATGCTGAAGGGTGGGACTGGAGGGAATTAAACGACTACGTGTTCCCGCATTGCATTACAACTATGATGTCGATTTACGTGTGGTCAGACCTTTTATGCAATGCTGACTCTTGATATCACGCCCAGACATGCATAGCTTCACCCAACAGGGTTCTCCCTGCCCATAGGAGGACCATAGGCCTTGGTCTAGGATATGAAAACACATCTTTTTTTGTGGAGATGAAGCACGCTAGGTATGCCCGAGCCATGGTGAATGCATGCTAGCTACATATTTGTAACTCGCCTGATCATTCCGCATTGACATGTTGAATACAGAACAAGTAGCTCGCTGTATTGCTATCCCCCGGTCTGTCGACGCTAATATTCCTAGCGTGTTGTCGGGAATCTAGCGCTTTGACTAGTTGAAGAACCTCGAGATAGTTCTGATCATAGTACACCTACGTGTTAGCTAGATACGTAGAAACAGGAGGCAGCAGATATTCTAACCAATGAGACTGCTTAGCTTCGCCAAAGTGCGCCGTCCAGCTATTAGGAGTCTTAGCATGAACAGGCCGTGGTTTGTGAGTAAAAGCTGACGCGTTTTCAAAAACTGGTGAAACCCACCTTGCCATTCCATTTTTACCCTGCATATGCCACCTCATCAAGAATGCTGGGATAGTACTGGGATTGGTTATGTCTTTTCCAGCTTGCATCGCGTCTCACTCCATCGCTTCCCTCTTTCTCTGCATGGCGCGCAGATTCCGGACTTGTACTCATGGGTATCGGAGAGGCAGTGGTCTTGACATAAATATGACTACACCCTCACCTATGACTGTCAAACTACACAGCAGGATTTCTCAATCACTCGTTCCTGACACCACCATGTCGGTACAAATTCCCTTCAAGGATCTGGCTAGGGAGATGGAAAGGGGACGTACAACGAATGGTTACGACGTGCTTGTAGCATACTCGTCGACCAAACTCAATGCCTTCTTACAAGCCCGCGCTGGTCAGCTCAGCCTTAAGCCTGTGCATTTTGAGGTGGAAGGCCGCGATCGGAACGGTTCCTTCACGTTAATCGTCCATCTCGAATTGAGTGGTCCCGTTCTGGAATTCAAAGAACAGAATGTGTACCTTACGTTTGATGTTGGCGGATACACAAAGTACACGGACAAGGAGAAGGCAGAAGATTTGCCCCAAAAACTTCAGATAGTTTTGAATACCGAGCTCTGTCATATTGCTGGTAGAGTGGATGAGACAGGGCAGTTCAAAGCGACGACCAACGCCCATGGACAGCCGGTCGATTCCAAGCCTTCTGGGGAAAAGGTTGTTTTGGGACCCAATGACAACTCTGCCCGAGGCGTCTGCATTGATATGTCGAGGGTTAAAGCCAAATTCATAGCCAAGGACGATGCCGGCGATGATGCAAAGAACATGGTCAAAGAACTGAATGCTGTGAGGACAAACATTGAGAGCCATTTCATGGCAGCATCGTCCGTCGAGTACTACCTAGCTGGAGCTTCTAGAAAATCCAAGTCACATGATCTTGTGCCAGAAACATTTAACTTTTCCATTTCTGCGGGCGAGGATGAAGAGGCAGCCCTGTGTCTATGGATTGGAGTCAAGGGAGGCCTCAATAACAGCTCAAAAGATCCAAACTTTCACCCTGGTGACTATGCACGGAGCCCAATACCAACTGGGAGCACAGCGAGCATCGTTATACACCATGATCTTCTCTGGAAAAAGTTCCTACTGGTGAGTGGTCTTTCTCTCTTTGTTCTACCCTACAAGTGCTAAAAGCCCGGAATAGGAAAACCTCAAGAAGACATGTCAAGAGTTGACAGTAGAGTCCAGTACAAGTGAAGGTGAGGCCATATCAAGCAAGTTCGCACGATCTAGTCAGGGCATTGGGAATTAATTATTCGTTAGATGCCTATCGAGCAGAGTGTGACTTGAACTTTTCGGATTATTACCAGCCGCGTGAAGAATTTGGAGAGACCATTGGTTCCTTCTTAAACCCTATCAGGCACCAGAGAACGCGCAGTGAAATCAGGTTCTCAGCAAAGCGTAAAGAGAAAGAAGAGGAAGAAGAGAAAGAAAAGAAAGAAGGTAAAGAAGGTAAAGAAGGTAAAGAAGGTAAAAAGGGAGAAGAAAAAAAAGAAAAAGTGAAAAAAGGGGCTACGGTTTCGATTCATCGTGGGGTAGCGACAAGTAGCAGCCATGCCGCAGCTATTGTGTACAAAAGCGACACTCAGATCATCAAGTGGTCGGAGTATTATGATCAGGACGCCTCATGGGGAACTGTCGAAGCGACTTTTGAATGGGCGATGAGAGGAAAATGGTCGAATGCTGTCAACGACGGAGCAAACCCCAACACTATTAGTTTGGATTGGGAAAATGACAAGGAATGGTCCATCAGCGGCAGAGTGACGTCATCGAACAAGTCGATGGGTAGGTTTGGTGGGTTCCAGGAATTCCTTACCACTTCCAAGTCGTCTTACGTCCCTCCCAATGTCCTCAAAACCAACGTTCCAGTGCCCAAAATTGACATGTCTGTGTGGGACTCATTGAACTACTTCCTCACGACAAACTTGCTTTACCCGGGAAGCCAGATGTTCAAGGCGCACGAGATCGGCAAGCAAGATAGCAAGGGTCTGGCGGTTCCCTTTGATCTGATACTCACGGGTGATCTCAACACGACTGCTCAGTAACCACTTTGCTAGGTAGAATACAACTTACTAAGTGTTCTATTCTAATATAAGAGACAGATTTAGGGCAATTCTTAACCACCCAACAACACTTATATATATTTTTCTTTATATTAACCATAGGCAGGCCTAGAAATGGTCCGGTCTCGGCTAGAGTGGCATAACCTAACCATTGTAACCTAGCCATAATCTAACCTAACCGGGATTAATTAGATTAAGATATAAAATTCCTTAATCAGCTTCCAGTTAAATTAAATTAAGATTAATTAATCTCTTAACCGCAGTTAACTGTAGACTAGAATAGATTAAATTATAATAATTAGATTAATAACT